TGAGCAGATTAATGAGAGACAGAAATAACAAGATTTTAGGGCATAAAAAAGAAAGATTGGATAAAGAAAATTAAAAGGTGAAGGGGTGTGAGGATGAGGAAGAGGAGGAATGTAAATAGGAGGAGAAAAAAGAAGAGTTGGAAGGAAACAGCACCTGAGGATGGTTGCACTTGTTAAGAAGGATAACAAAGAAAATGAGTAGGTATATGAATGGTTTTGGAAATGAAGAAGCAGCTGCCTTCTCAAGTATTAAACTTGTTCAAAGGTAGTAGATTTATTTGCAGAATTGCACTACTATTCAGCAGTAGTAAGAGTGGCAGAATATGGCCCATATTAATCAATTCACTCAATAGCAATTTTAAGTAGATGTACATATCAATGCATATATTGCATTGGCAGGCAAGACAGATGGTGTCTAGCACAGTGCAGGCTTACCACAAATAAACCCAGCACCTCCCCCAAGGGCTACTCCTATCCCCTTCCCCTGCGTGATTCGCTGCTCTGGTTTATGCTCCTAGCCCTGTGCTCCCTGCCTGATCTGGGGCAGGGGACTGGACTCGATGATCTTCTGAGGTCCCTTCCAGCCCTAATGTCTATGAAACCTATGATCTGCTGCTCAGCTTTCCACTCCCAGCCTCATGCTCCCTGCCTACTCCACTGCTGTTTTCTGCTCTTAGCCTTGTGCTCCCTGCTTGATCCACTGCTCAACTTTCCACTCCCAGCCCTGTGCTCCCTATGGCATCACAGAGACCTGGTTGGACATTTCTTATAGCTGGAATGTCAACATTGAGGCTTACACTCTGTTTTGGAAGGACAGGGTTGGGATAAAAGGTGGTGGTGTTATCTTGTATATCAAAAAAAACATACACTTGCCCCCTGGTTCCAGAGGAAGAAGACAACAAAGGGATCCTTTGACCCTTGCTGACTTCCTGCCCTTGGGGCGGGGGGTTGGACTCGATCTTCCAAGGTCCCTTCCAGCCCTAATGTCTATGAAATCTATGAAATGAAACAAAGCTGAATGCATTTGAATGCAGATGAAAGATGGTGCACCAATATAAAGGTGAGGATTTCTTATAGGCCACCAAATAAGGAAGAGAAGGTAGATGAGGCACTCTTCAAGCTGGTGACAAACTTATCCAAAAGCTATGAGAAGGCATTGATGGGAGACTTCAATTTTCCAGACATCTGCTGGAAGAACAATGCAGCCAAACATAAAATGTCAAGCCAGTTCCTAACTTCTGTTCTAGAAAGTGGAGGATACAACTAGGGGATCGTCTACCTTGGATCATGTCCTGACCAACAGGAAAGAACAGATGAAAGTAATGGATAACTTGAGAGGAAGTGATCATGACACAATAGAATTCCAGATCCTGATACAGGGAAAGCATGAGAGCAGCAAAATTAGGAAGCTACATTTCAAAAAGGCAGATTTCATTGACTCAAGGAGTTAATAGGGATGATAGATTAAAGGATAAAGGCACCCAAGAGGGTTAGGAGCTTCTAAAGGGCAATAAGAAATTGCTCCAGCATGATGGAAGCATAAGAAGAATGGAAACAGACTGATGTGGCTGCACAAAGAACTTCTAAAGTCCCTCAAATGCAAAAGGAAGCATACAGGCAATAGAAGAATGGGCAGGTCACCAAGGATGCATACCAGGAAACAGAAAGAGACTGCAGGGACAACATCACAAAGGCAAAGATAAAGAGCTGCACCTTGCAAAGGAGGATAAGGACAACAAGATGAGGTTCTATAAGTATGTTGGCCAGAAAAGAAGGACCAAAGAAGCTGTGGGTCCTTATTAACAAGCCAAGGGGAACTCTTAACCTAGATACAAAGAAAGCAGATTTACTCAACAGCCATTTTGCCTCAATCTTCCCAAAAAGTTAAGCTGCAGCCAGATGCCTAATAAGGATTATATGGATAAGAAAAGGGGGCAAGCAGAGGGAGGAGATAACAAAAGAGATGGTCAGAGAGCTTTTGTTGGGTCTCAATGAATTCAAGTCAGTAGGGCTGGATAAATTTCATCCCAGGATACTGAAGGAATTAGCAGAGGAGATCTCAGAGTTGTTGGCAATGATCTTCATGAAGCTGTGAGAGACAGGCCAGGTACCAGAGGACTAGAAAGGGGCCAATATACTGCCCCTCTAAAAAAAAAGGCAAAAAGGAGGGAAACTACAGACCGGTTATCATCACCTCAATACCTAGGAAGTTACTGGAGCATACCCTAAAGAAGGCCATTTGCAATCATCTGGAGGAGGAAAGGCTGATCACAAACAGCCAGTATGGATTTATGAAAAACAAATAGTGTCAAACAAACTTGATTTTTTTCTTTGATGAAGTAACTATTTAGGTGGATGAAAGGTATGCTGTGGATATAGTGTATCTGGACTTCAGAAAGGCTTTTGACAAAGTCCTGCACAACCTTCCCATAAACGAATTGACGAAATGTGGGCTGGACAAAATTACTACAAAGTGGATAAATAATTGGCTCAATAGCTTCAAGCAAAAGGTAATTATTAACGGGTCCATGTCAGAATGGCAAGAGGTTTCAAGTGGAGTCCCACAGGGGTCTGTCCTGACCCAGTGCTGTTCAACATGTTTATTAATGATTTGGATGCTGCCATAGAAAGCTTCTTGAGCAAGTTTACAGATGACGTGAAACTGAGAAAGATGATGAACACATTGGAGGATGTGAGCGCAAGTCAGAAGGATCTTAGCAGATTGGAAAGTTGGGCTGGAGTTAACAGGATGAAGTTCAATGTGGATAAATACAAGGTGAAACACCTCAGGAGGAATACTCAAAAACCTAAACATAAAATGAGTGACACCTGGCTGGATGCAGCACTGTGGAGAAGGACTTGGGAATCTAGGTAGACCGAAGACTTGAGTCTGCAGTATGATGCAGCTGCACAAAAGGCGAATGTGGTTTTGGGATGCATCAATAGAAGCATTAGGTGCAAGACATAGGAGGTGACAGTGCCTCTCTACTTGGCACCGGTTAGGCCTCATCTGGAGTACTGTGTGCAGTTCTGGGCTCCACATTTTAAAAAGAATGTGAAGAAATTAGAAAGGGTTCAGATGATAAAAGGCTTAGAAAGCAAGTCATATGAGGAGAGGCTAAAGGAGCTAGGTAAGTTCAGCTTGCAGAAAAGGAGCTTAAGAGGGGACATGATAGCAGTCTAAATAATTGAAGCGCTGCCATAAAGAAGGAAAGAACCTTTTTTCTCTTGCTGCAGAGAGGAGGATGCGAACCAATGGCTTAAAGTTGCAGCGAAGTAAGCTCAGATTGGGTATCTGGAAAAATGTCTTCACTCTTAGAATAGTGAAGCAGTGCCAAGGGAAGCTGTGGATTTTCCATTACTGGAGGTGTTTAAGAAGAGGTTGGATAGCCACTGCTGAGAGCTGATCTAGGCATAGCTACGCCTCTGTTCTACTGTGGGTATTTTCCACACTTCCTGGCTTTGCTGGTTACCCCTGCCTGCCCCCTTCCTCCTTGTCCTTTCTACTATGTGTGTCAGGGTGTTTTTAAGCCTTCCTCAGAGGCATTGGGTGTTGGCTGCAGCCAAAGCTGTGGACTTGACTGAGCTGTGCCAATGCTCCTGCTGGAACCAAAGCTGGAGCTAGAGGTTCTTGCCCCTCTTCTCAGAGTCAGACCAATTGCTGGATTTGGGGTCAGAAATGAATTTTACCCCATGGTCAGATTGGTATGGAGTGTGGGGGATTTTTGCCTCCCTGTGTAATGGGGGGCATAGCCCTCTACCCAGGATCTCTTGGCCACATACAGGTTTCCCTCGCTTTATGCAGGTTCTGTATGTGCGAATTTGTTCTTATGCAATGACCCTTTTAATACCAAACAATTGTTATAAGCAAAGTAAATTCACTCTTATGCGATTGGTGTGGTGGAAGCCTGCAGTCAGCTGCTTTGTGCGGTACATTGTGGGAGTGACACACACCAAAATAGTCTTCTGTGTGGATCTTTGCTCCTCGCTCGTTGTCTGCAACACATTTCTGTAGTTGCCATCCCCATTATGGTAACATTCACCACCACCCTGTGCTTGTGTGTACATTCTGCAGTTGGTGAGTACCAAAATTGCCTTGTAAAAGTGGTAGAAATGGGTCTGGGGGTCAGTACAGTCACAGTCTTGGAATGTATCCCTATTTGTTACATTTAAGAGTGGGTTCCCTTTATGCAAATTTGAGTTATACGCCATTTTCCAGGACCGCATATACAGCATAAAGTGAGGGAAACCTGTATTGACAATGTTTCATAGAAGCAGGATGCTGGCTGCCTAGGTTCCTCTGCTTTAACTGTGGCAGGTTAAGTTGTTAGGTCTGGTTGTATCAGGGTTGATGGCAGGTAGTCTTAAATAGATTTAGATTATGGATTGTATGGAATCATTTGGATAGCCATGATCCTACTGCAGGCTGGGGGATGGATGAGATGGAGGTCCCTTCTCATCCATGGCCTGACTTCTCCGTGACTCCCTGCCTGATCCACTGCTGCATTCTGCCCCCAGCCTGATCCACTGCTCTGCTTTCTGCTCCCAGCCTGATCCACTGCTCTGCTTTCTGCTCCCAGCCCAGCGCTCACTGCCTGATCCACTGCAGTGTTCTGCTCCCAGCCCAATCCACTGCTGCTTTTTGCTCCTAGCTCTGTGCTCCTTGCTGCATCTGCTGCTTTCTGCTCCCAGGCCAACGTGCTGTACGCCTTGGCCACCCCTGTCCCTCCAGAACCGAGGCACCGGCTCCGCGAGGGGATCCGCTGGCTCGGGGAGCTGCGGAATCACTGCAGTGACCCCGGCTCTGAAACAGAGCCCAGGATCTGAAGCAGCCCCGAGCGCCCGCAGTGCGGTAACGGTGGGGCGGCAGGAGGCCAGCGGCTTCTGAAACGCAGCAACAACACCCCAAACCAGTTCCTCCCGCCGCCGACGTGTGCCCGCAACTGGCATCCGTCCCCGCCCTGCGCACAAGCTCGGGGCGCAGGCGCACTAGAGTAGCTGAGGGCACGTGTGACGTCAGCGGCAGCCCAGGACAGAGCGCGCGAAAATTGGAAGGCGGCCGCGCGAGCCCCGGGCGCCGGGTAAGAGGCGGCGGGGGAAGGGTTGGAGCGGCTGCCCTGTGCCCCTAGGCGGAATTTCCCCCTCCCCTCCCCCCGGGGCCGTTGGCGAACGTCCCCCCCCTCGCGCTGCACCCCGCTTGCTCTGGCTCACTGCCCCCTCCCCCGCGCCCCCCTCTGCCAGCAGGGGGAGTCCCTGGCACATACGTGCCTGCAGTGCAGCCCCTGCCCCACCTCCTCAGCAGCCTTCCCAGGAGGTCCTCCCACACCTTTTGGTTCATGCGCCCCCCTGTGACCCCCTGGGCGATCCCCTCCTGGCTTTGGCCCAGCTCACCATCTTCTCGGACCGGGAAGGAGGCTCTGGTCCCTTGGGGACTGTGGGGCCACTTTTCTGTCCCTCGTCCATCATGTCTCCAGGCAGTTTCTCTGGGGAGTGTCCACTAGCTCCTTGGACTCGCTTGAGGGGCCGTGGCGGCTGGCTGGGACGCTTGGCTCGGTGTCCCCCCTCGGAGCACACATTGACCTCTGGCCCCCCTGCCCCTGTTTTCAGTTTTTTGTCCCGTGAAATCAGCTGTTGCATCTCCAGTAACTTCCCCAGTTAAGGGAGGATGTAAGTGTTCCTAGTGGGCCTGGGCCCACTGCACCGTGATGCCACGAATAGGCCTGTCCCTGTTCCCCACATGCCTCCGCAGTAAGTTTCTCTAGGCCAGTGGTTTTCCACAAACCCTCCGAGGTCTGCAGACTATGTCTAAAGCGTCCATGAAAGATGACTGAAAGATCAAAAGTGAATATGTACTCTTACCATTCAGAAGGGTCTGCACCTCCGTTCAAAATATTTTAGGGGTCTGTAATTAAAAAAGGTGTAAAACCACTGCTCTAGGTGGCATCCATTGGCTCCTTGGATTTGTTTAGGGGGCTGTGGACTCTGGTCACTGTTCCCCCTCCCTCCCCCCCTCACAGCAACTTATTAGCTTTTGCCTTCCATGTCCCTGTTTCAGCTTTCATTACTCCAAGTATTCAGTTGTCACACTTCAATAGCCCCTTATAACAATGGAGGGCACTAGCAGTTTCTCTGTGGGCTCAGGCCCATGGTCCCCTGGGGGAGTGACAAATAGGCCCGCCCCCATATGCCCCCTTCTGACAGTAGCTGGAGACTGGCGCACGCCTGCCTACAGTGCAGCCTGTCCACTGCCTCCTTGGTATCATCCCATGGAGATCCAGGGGCATGTCCCCCTGCACCTTTTCATTTATGCACTCCTTGTCCATGGCCCCACCAAGGCCCATGACCCCCTTGGCAACCTCCTCCTGGTTCTGGCCAAGCTTGTCATCTTATCTGGAGGAAGGAGGCTCTGGCCAGAGAGGCCCCTGGTGACTGCGACCATTTCCTGTTCCTCCTCCACACACGTCTCTGGCCAGAGTTGGACCTGTTCAAGGGGCCATGAATGCTGTCACACACACACTGTGTTCTGCTCTGTGTTCCTTCAGTATAACCTTTGGTTCCCCCACTTTCATCCCTGTTTTCACACTGTCCCATCAGTTGTGTCTCCAGAAGTCTCCTCAATTAAGGGAGGCTTAAGTTTTCCTGGGAGGCCTGTCTTTCCTCCCCCCACATCTCTGGGCAAAGCCTACAGCCCCTTCTCTGGGTTGTGTCCACTAGCTTGGACTAATTCAAGGGGCACTTGCTTGGTGTCCCCTGCTCAGAGCACTTGTTAAAACCTTCCCCCCCCCATCCCTGTTTTAATTTTAGTTGTCGCAGGTATTCAGTTGTCATACACTTAATAGCCCTTCTAACAACAGAGGAGGCTAGCAGTTCCTTTGTGAGCCCAGGCCTGTAGTCCCTTGTGTGTGTGATGCACCTGCCCCTAGGGGTGGAGTGCTGCAGTAGGAGGATGTGGGTGCCTGTGCAGTAGCAGAGTAGGGGAGTTGCCTGCATGGTGTGCCTGGACAGGGTGGGGAATGGGGCTGTGCACATGGCAGGCAGGGGGTTTGGGCTGGGGGGGGTGTGCAGGCTGAGCAGCTCATGTGGCATGTGGTCCTTGGTGGTCTAGAAGTTGGACAGCTCTGTTACAGACCCAGCCTCTCCCTGTTACTAATGAAGTCAGTGAGGGTGAACCAGGGAGGTACGTTGTCTGGTATCTCCCAACTTTTCATGTAAAGTTTATAGGGTAACATTTATAATGTGACTCTCAGTGTTTAGTTATTCATTTGTGTCCACTATACAAGTGGGGGTGATGGAGGGGGAGCACTCTTTTTGGTAGGCATGCTACAGGTTAGCCTCACCCCCTTCCCAAGTGGCACTCCAATCTCCTTTTTCTACCTGATTTACTTTTCTGTTTCCAGTGCCTGTGCTCCCTGCACAATATGCTTCTCTGTTTTCTGCTTGTTGCCTCATCTGCTGGTGTGTTGTCTGTCCCCCCCTAGTCTGTTGCGTGCCACAAACAGAAGTTGCTTGTGCTACTTATGGTCACCCCTGCACTCTACCAATGTAATGTTGGTATTCACAGTGCTAAAGGAACTAAAAATTACACATAACCTGTTGAAACTCATGACAAGTACCCTTCATGGGTCTCACAGGTAGACTGAATTGCTCCATGTCCCATAAGTTGTTGGTGGAAGGACAGGGAATCCACTTTTTAGTGGTTACAACTAGGCCATTCTTCCTCCCTCTTGTCACTCTCCACATCACTTCACCATATGTATTTGTTACACTATGATGCCATACAGGTATTGCATACTGCCACTGTGCTTCATATTTGTTTTATAAGTGGGAGAAGTTATTTAATTCCCCTTACGCAATTAATTTTTGAACTTTTTCATGAAAATGCCAACAGAATTGTTAATGATCAGTGACATAACTTGGGTGGAGTGAATGGGGCAACTACTTAAGATGCCTATTGGGGAGGTGAAAAAAGTGGCTGCAGCTGGCAGTCATGATGGCTCACAAACTGGAAGTCACCACTGCCCTTGTGCCTGGTTGCATCCCTACATTGTTAATTACTGTCAAAGTTGGGGAAAGGAGACTTATAACTGAGACACGTCCATACATATATGGAGATCATGTATGTGAATTTTCATTTCATATGTCATTGAACGACCCTGAGATCGTGCAGAGTCACTTGGAAGGACTGGATGCGTTTAAGTCGGCAGGCCCGGATGAGCTCCATCTGAGGGTACTGAAGGCACTGGTTGATGTCATTGCACAGCCACTGGCAAGAATATTTGAGCACTCGTGGCGCACAGGCCAGGTCTCAGAGGACTGGAAAAGGGCCAGTGTGGTCCCTGTTTTCAAGAGGGGGAGGAAGGAGGATCCAGGCAGCTACGGGCCAGTCAGTCTCACCTCCATCCTTGCTAAAGTCTTTGAAACGATTATTATGGCTCATATATGTGAGAGCCCAGCAGGAAACGGCCCAGGGCACGGTGCAACCCAGTGGCTACAGGGAGCTGGCATTGGCTGCTCCCGGGCCAGCTGCAGCAGGAGCTGGGGTACATGGGGACAGGCAGAGCCCTGGGGGATTCGTGGCACGGTGCAGCTCAGCGGCTGCAGGCCGCTGGTGCCGGCAGCTCCCAGGGCTGCTGCAGCTGGACCTGGGGTGAGTGCCGTGCCCCGCACTGCCCAGAGCTCTGCTTGTCTGCAATCACTGTTGGAGCGGCCCTGAGATCAGCCGACTTGGGAACCTATCCCTATTTCTTACGTTATAAAGTGGGTTCACTTTATGCAAATTAGATTTATGCAGCGTTCTCCAGGAACACATGTACCATATAAATCAAGGGAAACCTGTAACGTTACCATATGCTGATAATAAATTGACCTTTCCCACTCAAACAGAGCCATCGTTGCAGTCAACTTATACTTGAGGGTACTCTATAATTAGAACAATATGATACTAATGTACAAAGCAGGTGACCCTGAAGGACACACACAAAAGCCAGCCAGTGTGGCTCATAAGAGTGTTGTGCTAAGTAATCTGGTCTATCATGGTGACAACAGGTGCTGTTCACACAGGCAAAGGCCACACTGGTTGGGTGACCCAAATAACCATCACGCCACAATTATTGATCTGTTCTATAGGCTCAGGAAGCTAGGAGCTCAGAAGCCCTGGGAGCCCTGTGTCAGGCTGAGGCTATTCCAGACCCATGGCTCCAGTTCAAGAAATTGAACACCTTGGGTCCCCACTTCAAGGGCAGTCCATGTTACAGGTCACAACTGTAGCCACAGAGCCAGGAAACAGTCCACCAGGTTTGGTGGCAGGAAAGCATGCAGTCCTTTTGGAACTCTGCCTATGTTTAGAATCATAAAATAGTAAGGCTAGAAGGTACCTCAGGAAGTCATCTAGTCCAGCCTTCAGCATGTGTCCCACAAGTGCCACTGGCAGTCTCCCTGTGTGGCACTTGGCAGGCTGGGTGGAACATAGGGCAGGCAGAAGAAAGCAGAGCAGCAGATTAGGCAGGGGGCATAGAGAAGGGAGCACAAAGCAGAGCAGCAGATCAAGCAGGGGAGGGGGATCTGAGTGGTACTTGCAGAGAGGTGGGCGTTAACTTGTGGCACAGCTGGAAATAAGGTTGTCCTCTACTGATTTAGTTCAATGCCTGTCTAAATCATTCTAGACAATTGTTTGCTTAACTTGCTCTCAGCAAAGTCCTAAGTTAGAGATTCTGTAACTTCTCTTAAGTAATTTACTCCACTACTTAACCACACTTATAGTAAGGAAGTTCTTCCTGTATTTCTGTTGATACAATTTAAGTCCATTACTCTTTGCCCTGTCTTTGGCCAGAGATACTAGACTATCATCATCATTTTTATAACCACCCTAGACCTTTGACAATTGGAAGTTGGCTCAAAAACAATTCAACAAAGGAGCGTTATCAAAAAAAATCGTCAAAATTCCCAGACATCCACCCTCTTTTCCTTCTCTACATCCTTCAAAAAATAAGGTAAATTTGGACTTTGAACCTCTAAAACCAGGGTTGTTTGAATCATGGGTTTTGGCTCTGTGGACCATTGAAGTTTGAATCCAGAACTGCAGTTCAAATATGACCTTTCAATTAGGGCCTGTTTTTGTTAAACCTGGGAACAATGTGCATATCAAGACAATGTTTTTAGTTAAAGGTATTTACGTAGATTTTTTAGGCTGAGTAAAGTATAGTCAACTTAAGGCAAACTTATCTTTAGTGCTTTTTTATAAAACTTTTTTAGTGAATTTAATTCCTTGTGTTGTCCTCACATTTTTCTTACTTTTTGTTAGGGTTGCCACTTTCCTTTCATTGTCTTATGGGAAAGCACCTTATGTCACAACCAAATAGTGATAGATGCTATCTCTGGTAAATTTGGGACCCTTTAAATATATTGAGAGCTTGTGAGAAGCTTGAGAGAATCATTACGGTCACGTGAATTCTGGAATGGGTGGCAGACTGTTTCTAATGCTGCCTTTCATCTTATTCTTTTGCCTGTTTTTCCTGTCCTTGCTGTCTCATCTGTGCCTTCTCCATCTTTATGTAATATAGTGGATGTTTGTTCACCACTGCCATCTTTAGGATGGAAACAGAGCTACTATGTATCTGTAGCTCACACTTTCTAGTGGTTAGCGTGTGAAGTGGTTATAAACTGTACTAGTACTAATCCTTGAAATAGAGATTTTCCTTTAGATTATGTGGTTCTGGGTCAAAAAATCAAGAGTTCTCTTGTCCAGGTTTCATACACGTGCTGTCTCTGTACCCTACCACTGATTATTGCATGCTGCTATGTTTATGACTGAGCAATCATTTTTAGAAGGCAGAAGAGAGGCTGATTTGTAGTTCAGGTGATGATTTTCCTTACAATGAGTTGCCCAGTCTGTTTTGTAGCCTCTTGGAAATGATTACAATAAATCAACATTTACAAGAAGATGCATGTGTATGCTGCTTTAATTTTAGAAAACTTATAGCTTATAAGTATGTATGTTATACATACTTATAGCTCTGGAGAGACATCAAACAAATTCCTGTTGATCAGTATAACATATTTTAGATCAGGTTGCTACAAAACATGTGCAAAAGAATGCCTGGCTGTAAAGATCTTACCATATTTATAAACAGTGGAACAGCTGTAATAAATTGAGTAAATTCTCAGATTAAACAATTTAAATTTCACCAAAGAAAATATTTGTAGACTTTTTTTTTAGTTAATGTATAAATGGCTGTCATTAGGATTAATGCTGCTGAAGTGAAGACAGTGATTACTTGTAAATTAAAAATCTCTCTATATATTTTTCCTTGTAGTTTTGGGATAAAAATTCTTTCTAGTCTGAACCTTTACATGTTTAGATTTCACATGGTGGCAAATTTCTTCCTTCTGCCCCTTGTTTGAAAAAATAGGGGGTGGGAGAGGATAATCTGCTTCTAAGTTATAAGAATGCAAAACAGTTTTGAGTGAAATTTGGCAGTTTCTCTCTAATGAGGACCAATCACTTTGCATGTGTTGCAAAAAGAATAAAAACATGCTGTGGGTTTACATAGGACGAACCTTTATTTAGTTCTCAGTTGTCAATATAGATAATATTAACTTGAGAATGGCTATGCCTGGATGGTTACTACTTCTAACTGAGCACACTTGTATAGTAATATGTGCTTAGTCCTTTTCATCTTCCTCATGTTTTATAAACTGTTCTTCAAGGACATGTTTAATATAGAAGGTTGGAATATTATTAGCATTTCAGATTTGTGACTGGATGGTTATGCAAGTGGACAGAAAGAAGTTTAGGAGTTAAGGCATGGCTTTTCTTTTAAAAGTAACATTTTATAATGCACTGCAGACTTCCATGTTCAGCATATCTTACTAATTTTTCATAAAAGTGTTGCTTTTGTTTTAAGCCTTACAAAAGTCTTCCTAGGCTCTAACAATTAAATTTACCTGTGTTTTTTCTAACAGCAGTGATAAAGATTCTTGAAGGTACAGTTCTTCCTTCAGTTATGACTGTGGAATCTCAAAGTAGATTGCATAGGTGTCACTGAAGGCAGTTGAGTTGCATAGATATAAGTGAAGGGAGTAATTTGGCTCGTGGATCAGTTACTGATGATGATGATCCACAGAGCCCAGGGGAGTTAATGCAGGAGTGTCAAACATACAGCCAAGCCCACAGAACTGTTTCATTTGACCCGCTAGCAGTCCAGCCAGCTACCTGAAGTTAGGTGTGGAGGAAGGTATGGTCACTGGATCATGCCCTGTACCAGAATTCAGGGTCCTCATATCCTGATGGACATGGCCATTGGCAGCAGGGAGTAGGCTGTGCAGATACAGCCTTCACTTGCCCTGCTGCCACCTGCGCTCACACCAGCGTGGTTGCTTGATGCCCGGTCCCGTACTGCTTTTCAATGCCTGACTTGTGCTGCTGCCTGCCCCTGGGCCCAGACCCATTGCAGATGCTGCTGGCTCTACAGATCTTACACTGGAGGAGCTCTGCAGCCCTGATCTGATCCGGGATGAGTTTGACACCCCTGAATTAAGGAATGTAGGGGAGGAAACTTTTTGCTTGTAAATACATCAAGATTTGCTACAGTAACAAAGATATGCATTGAGTATGGAGCTTAATATATAGATGTTAGATTTAATAAATCATGCTTTGCAAGATTCCTGTGAGGTAAATTGGTATTGTACTGTTCGTAGAGGGGGAACAAACCAGGCAGATGAAAATCAAATGACTTGCCTAGTATCAGAAAGGAGGGCTTTGTCAGAACTGGGCCTCAGACTCAAGCCTTCTGACTGCCAGACCTGTGCCTTAACTGCAAAGCTATCTTTCCTCCCTCCTACTGGACTTGCTAGGCATGTTTATTTTACAAATCTAGATTAACTATGTGACTGTGTTGAAATATTCTAAACAGTGACTACAATAACTAGATCATAATGTACAGCTAAATTGACATACAAGAGCCTACAAGAAATCTGGGCCAAGAGACATACCACTATCTAATATTTTGTTCATATATTATGTATCAGAAGTTCTCATCTATCATTGGCTGACCTAAATTCATTAGGAGCTCCCTTCTATTAGAATACCAGAACTACCCAGTTTTAACTTTACTTCAACAGTAGCGTTGTTAAATCTGTGGTAAGCAGGGTAATGGGGAAAGCTCCAATACTTTACATTAAGAACAAATTTTATTTTGCATATAATACCAAAAAGTAAAGGCAACTTCTGGGACAGGAAAACTGAAATAAAAAAGTGATGAAATCAGTATTTCTGATTTTAGGGAGATAGTTCTTACTTAAATAGCTACCACTATCTATTTCAGATGTTATAAACAAATAACCATGACAGGTTTCCTTTTCTGTCATCATGTTGTATCTTTGTTGTGAAGGCTTTTTTTAAATTCCCCTATGCCTACCCCCTTGCCCCCCAAAAAACAACCCTCCCCCCCAAACAAAACAAACCGTGAGGATCTATGTAAATTTGACTTTGGCAAAATGAAACAATTGCAGTGTTAGCAAACAGGAAAGTAAACATTTAATATCCGTTGCCCCAACTCTCTCTGTGATCACTTAAAATTGTTTGATTTTTCAAAAATAAGTTGGAACAAAAGAACATAAGATTTCTAGTCATTGTAAACATGCACAGACTTCTGAACACTAACCTCTGAATAGTGTAATTTTAGTAACAATAACATTCTTGAATTACTTTTCCTTAGTAAGCTCATCTTACTAGAATATTGTTTTTATGCAAAAAAAAAGAAGTGATAATGAAGAAAAATGAAAGCCTTTATAGCTTTATTCTCTTAAATTGTTCACCATTTGTTTATAACCAGAAAAGGAAAAAGTCTGACCAATAATAATATAAATATAATAGTTCATATTAGTACATTTAAAGCACTGCAACAGAGCCTACATGAAAGTAATTAATTTAACACTTCTAAAATCAATATTGCATTCATTTGAAGGTAACCATTATATCCCCAGTCTTAAACTAAGTGGAAGATAAAGGCTAATATTGGAGCAGTATGTTTAGGGACTCTGTGAATGGCAGGTATTTCTTTTGCTGTAAAGGCATTCTTTTATGAAATCCAAGGAAAAAACATCTCTTTCATTGAAAAGAATTAATGAACTGGCACAAATTGCAAAGAAGTGTTATGAAATCTTATAAATAAACCCATGAGGCAGGAGGATCTACATAAAAAAGAGGGCAAATATAAATTTTGCTTTGGGAAGCCATGGGAAGTTATTTTTATTTTGTAGCAGAATTAACCCATATGCTGCATGTGGGTGGACTTAATGTTATAAATTAAACCTTTTTAATTTAGATTTTTTTTAGTAGATGAGTGGGATAATAGTTGAACAGAAGAATGAAAATTATTGAAGATTGGGAAGATTCTCTTACAACAAATGGTTCTCAGTCCTCAAGGCACACCTTAGAAAATGCTACCTCTTAGTTTTC